GAGAAGCTCTCCCATCTCTGAGACGCCCCCAAGAAGGGCATGCCCACCCTCTGTCCGGGCTAAGCTGCATTTTTGGCGTTGGCCCTGCATTCCCAGCCAGCCCCGTGCAGGCTGTGCCAGAGGAGAGCCCAGACACGCTGTCTCCCCACTGATTTTACACGTGGGTTATTTAAAGCAGACACCGATAGCTCTGAAGTCAAGGCAGCTGAGCGTGGCTGTCGGTGGCTAATGAAGGTGAATGTCAGGAGCCGTCGTTGAAGTGATTAGCCTAATTAAACCGAGCTGCAAGATGCAGCAGCACGGTGCAGAAGAGCAAGCATAAAGCCCATCTTCAGCCCTGCAGCCTGCACCACCAAACTCAATCCCCAGCTAGGAAAAGCCTCCCAGCTCCGTACAGCTTCTGGAGTGCAAAAACATTGCCACACGCCTCCTCTCCAGAGGGGTTTCCATCGATTTGACCTTGCCGTCCCTATCTCGCATCCCTCCTCTGCTTCCCAGTCCTTGGACGAGTCGCCGCGGTTCTTCGTCTCGTCTCCCCAAGCCGTAAAGCACAGGTAAAGCTATCTAGCTGCCTACCTGACCAGGCTGCTGTGCAGATTAATTAATACTTCTCAAGTGCCTGGAAAATTGCCGAGTATTATCACTACATAACAACTGTTGCTACGTGGGGAAAATCCGGATCCAGGCGTGGATGCCGCGCCCCCGTTCCCTGCCCTCGCAGAGGTCACAGCCTGGCTGTGCTACGAGCACGGAGCCAGAAAAAAAATCCTCCTTTGGGCTTCTCCAACACTTTGCTCGTGTTACTTCTGCAGCTTTTGTATGTGCACCATCAGGTGGCTCCGTGTGCTCCATCCCAAAGCATCCCAAGTGATATTTTTGGATGGGCGGCCCCTCTTCCTTGTGTGATCATCCCTACCCAGACACAGCTCCAGCAGCCAGCCCCAAAAAGCTGCCTGGTTCCCACTGCAGAGGCAGAGAAGCCAGGGTGGAGCTGCCCCAGCGGCGGGCGGTGATACCACACCTCAGTATCTGAGTGACTCACGGGGTGCACAACCGAGTGGTGCTTCAATTTCTCCTCCCCTTTGCTCAGTACCAGGTGAGGAGTAAAGCCATAAAATGGCGAGGGGCTGCGGAAGGGGAGACCTGGTGGGTCCAGCCCCAGGCAGGGGTCTCGCTGCTGGCATCCTCCAAGCGGGTGGAAGCACTGGGAGCGGTGGCCGTGCTGGGACAATGCAATTTGGGGAGCTTTTGGTCAGGTGCTAGGTGAAAATCTCCCTTGAGGACCCACCAAACAAGCCTTGTTTTGCCAGAGCCCAGAGTGGTCTCCTTGCCTTTATCCTCTCCGTGTGTCTGCCGGCCAGAGGACACCCCATGAAGCGTATTTTTCAAAGGGGAAAGCCAAGGAAGGGCTAGTGCTCTGTTACCACGCAGCCAGCTCAGCTCATGTGGCTTAGATCATAGCTGTAACAAGCCTTCTGGCACGTGAGCTCCCAGGCAGAAAGCACAGGATTTTTTCCATAACATGCAGGGAAAAAAAAAAAAAAAAGAAAAGAAAAAAAAAAAAGAAAGAGAAAGAAAAACGAGCTCTGGCTGCTTATATTGAAAGCAAACAAAAATATATAGACATCTGTGGTTTTGTGTGTTTTCATGGGATTACAGGACTCAAAAGCTGCTTTGTTTCTTCGACTAACCCGTGGTTGCACGTGGCATGGGCCGAATGTGTCCGTGGTAAATCAGCAGCACCGGCTTGCTGCGGAGGGCGAGGATCTGTCCCCGTGGTGCCACAGCCTGGTGCTTGCAGAAGACGTTCTGGGCAAAGAGGCTTAATTTTTCCTCTGCCCCTTATATCAGTTTTCCAGCTGCCGGTGTCCGTCTGTCCGGCAGATTCAGGTTGGGTTTTGGGGAAGCACAAGAAAGGGGCAGGGGCGTCGGTGCCAGCGCTGAACAAACTTTCCTTCTGGACCCAGGTGTGATAAAAGCAACGAGGTGCACACCAGAGTGTGCCATCGGGTGCCATCGGCCCTCAGCAGGAGGCTCCACGTGCTGCTTGAGGTCTTCTTTTGTGGTCATCCTCAGAGGGAAGCCCTCTTTTTGTAGGGACCGGGGATCCTCCTGCCCCCAGCCTTTAATTACCCTGCATCAGTGGGGTTGAAGTGATGCTCGCCCTCTGGCAACCCGCTGCGCACCTCGGCTCCATCCCTCCTCTCCTCTCCACCTCTCCCCGGCACGGAGCACTCCACGACCTCGCGTTTCAGCAGTTGTGCTTAGAGGGGGTTGGCTTATTAACTTAAAGCAAATGAAATTTTAAAGAACTGGTGGAAGGGCGTAATTTAATCCGCGCAGACGGCGGGCCTGACGGATTGGCAGCGCTTGCACCGCCACAGCGCAGGCGTGAGGAGCGTCCCCATCGCTGGGCATGGCAAAGGGGGGACCGGCTGCCAGCCTCGGGGTGTTTAGGGTTTGTGCTGGGACTCGATGTGGGGTCCTCTCTGAGTTTGCATCCGGGCAGAGGAAAGAGCACGCTGTGCTCTAAAACCCCCGCGTTGGGTGGTTTTGTCGCTGCGTCTTATATTTTACCTACTCCGACCCGCCGGCCAGCACCAAGTCTCTTAACCCTTCCCGCGAGGAACTCGGCTTTGACTCACAATCGAGAAAATGTTCCTGTGGCTGGCGGCTGACTCAGGACTTAATGACAGACCGCGGCACCGTGGTGATTACGGCCGCGGGCACGTACCGCAGCGCATCGTGCCCACGGTCTCGGCAGCGCTGGCTGCTGACAGAGGTGGTGCAGGTGTCCTTCTGAATCACCTCGAACAGCCAGTCTGGATCAGGAGATCCATGAGGGATCCCTGAGCTGTTAGCTGGATCTCCCCTCCGCTGTAAGGAAGCCCACCGAGGTCTCTTTGCCCCCATTTTCACCGCAGCCCCCCTGTTGCAAGAGCACAAGGAGATGCCGAGCATGGCAGAGGTGGCTCCAGGAACATCTCCCTTTCCCAGCGTGGTGAGGATGAGCTGTCACCGTCGAAGCCATATGCAGCATCATAAAAACCTGGCCGAGAGCCTTTACTGCTTCTTCCTCCACCGCCGCAGAGGGATCACAGGACCATCCGTGCTCTGACGGGAACATTGGAGGGGACCATGTGTCGGTGTCGTTTGCGCATGACTCAGAAAACCTGTTCGACACGAAGGCTGGAACAGCGCGTGGCTGGCAGAAAACAGAAAACAGTTGTTTAAAGATCAGAGATGATCTCAGAGCTGCTCCAGGTTTCGGGGCTGGGAGGGGAAAAATCAGGCTGCGGCAAGGCGGGTCGGCAGAGGGGATTGCTCTGCCTGGGGGGAGCAGGGCACGAAAGGGGGAACCCCTCTGTTCCCCAGCCAGGTACGCGTGTTTTTGGGTCACTATCTGCTCGTTTTGGCTCCCCAGCTCGGAGCCCGTCCTCTCCCCCCAGGGCTTTCTTCATCATCCCCCGTGGGTGCTGCTGCTGCCAGCTCCACCCCAATAGTGCCGACGTGGCTTAGTAAGGCGAGCACGGGACCCGAAACCCAGCTGAGCCTCTGCCCGAGGCACAGCATTCACCACTGCGTGCCTCAGTTTCCCCGAGTAAATTGGACGGTTATGAGAGCTATTATCGGACGGTAATGAGGATCTATTATGGGATGTAATGAGACCTGTCCACGCTGTCACGATGGGGTGAGCGATGCACCGCATGCAGCACCACGAGCTGCCTCGTGCTCGCCCTCCACCACAGCATCTCCTGCCTCTCCCTCCTCTTCCTCCCCCCAGGGAAGGGAGCAGAGAGGGAGCTGGGATGTTCTCTGCTTCGTAATGCCCAGGTGTCACCCCAACCCTTCAGCTCTGCCTTGGGTAGAGCTTTTTCAGCCAGCTTTGGGTAGATAAAGGGGTAATTCTGCTCAAACCCTCCTGATTTCTGTAGGATTCGGGCACTGATCTGGGAGGCGGAGGCAGCACTCGCTGCTTTATCACACCGGGATGTGCTTGGCCCCAAATGGAGCCCCCACCACCCCCAGCCCGGAGCCTTGGGGGCCCATTTGTGTGCTGTGATAATGACAACAGTAATAGTATTGGGAGTAATAATAGAAATGGTAATCGTAGCAATATGGTAATAACACCACCAATCATAGTATTAGTAGTAATATCAGAAGTGGTAATAGTAGTAATATAATAATAATAAAAATAAAATGTAAAATATATACCATGTAGATAACACCACCAATAATAGTATTGGTAGAAATATTAGAAGCAGTGCTAGTAGTAATATAATAATCATGTAAAATATATAATGTAAATAATGACAACAACACTAATAGTATTAGTAGTAATATTAGAAGTAGTAATAATAGTAGTAGTAGTAGTAATATTAATAATAGAATCCCAGAATCATTAGGGTTGGAAAAGCCCTCCCAGATCATTTAGTCCAAGCATCCCCCTGCTACCAATGTCACCCGCTAAACCATGTCCCCAAGCACCATGTCCATGACAATAATAATAATATAGTAGTAGTAAGAGTAGAAGCAGGAGTATAATAGAAATAATAACAGAATAATAAAAAATAGAACAATAGAACAATAGAATATTAGAATATTTGAATGTTAGAATAACAGAATACAATATAACACAATATTATATTATATTATGTTATATTATATTATGTTATGTTATATTATGTTATGTTATATTATATTATGTTATATTATATTATATTATATTATATTATATTCTGTTATATTATCTTATTCTGTTTGTTGTTTTATCTTCTCTTCTCTTCTCTTCTCTTCTCTTCTCTTCTCTTCTCTTATCTTTTCTCTTCTCTCTCTTCTCTTCTCTTTCTTCTCTTCTCTTCTCTTCTCTTCTCTTCTCTCTCTTCTCTTCCCGCAGAGCCCAGCAGCCCCAGCCCGGCAGGAACTACAACTCCCAGCATGCCGCGGGGCCAGGCCCCGCCCCCCTCCCCGCAGGCCCCGCCCCCCTCCCCGCCCCTCCCCTCCCGCGGCCGTTGGGGGCAGGAGCGCGCGGCGGCCGCTGAGGCAGAGCGGCCGTTGGCGCGGCGGGTGGCGGCGCTCCGCTCGGCTCCCCTCGCATCGCCTCTCCCCGCCTCCTTTTTTCTCCTTTTTTCCCCTTTCCGACCGCCGTCAGAGAGAGACGCCGGGAGCCCCGGAGACCTCCTGCCGCCTGCCTCCCCCTTGCCTTCCTGCGGTGAGTCTCGCGCGCCTGTCGCGACACAGCCCGCCCCCGCGCCGCCCTGTCGCGACAGAGACCACCTCCTCGCGATCGCGGGGAGCTGTGTGTGTGTGGGGGGGGGGGGCTCGGGGCCTGCCCGCCTCCCCCCTCATCCCCCTTCCTCCCCCCCCCTTTCCCCATCGCTTTGTGCTCCGCTGTACGCCTGCAGCGTGGGTTGATTTAGAAAAAAAAAAATCTTAAATTTCCGTGCTTCTTGTGAGTTTGTTACCTTTTTTTTTTTTTTTCTCTCTCTTTTTCCCTATTCGCGACAAATTTGTCCCCGGGGAGGAACAAATTTTAAAGGAGGGGGGCGTGTGTGTGGGGGGGAAGCTCTTTGTCACGCAGCGGGCAGGAGCCATCCGCTGTGGGGGGGGGGATTAACAAAAAATAATAAACGGGAAAAAATAAATAAATTAGAAACAGAAATATTCGCCCTCCGGGGGGGCTGAAAAACGGGGTTTCGGGGTGTTTTGCGGGATTTGGGGGTGCTTTTAGCCGAGGGGCCGGGGGCCCTGCGCTCGGCAGCAGCACAACAAAGGGGGTTTTGTGCGGGCACGGGGGCAGCCCGCGGCTTTTACCCCCAAATTCCCTGCCCTGTCGCGACAAACGACCCGACATCGGCTTCCTCTGGAAGGATCCGGATCGGCGTTGGATCAGAAATAGCTTTTGTTTGGGTGTTTTGTTGTTATTTTTTTAATTGGAAGCTCCTCTCCGGGGGACGCGCGGGGTTTCTCCCATCCCCTCGCCCTGTTCCCCCCCCCCCGGTTCTTTTGTGGGCAGCCAGGGATCCGGCACAACTTTGGTCGTTTGTGTTTCTTTTTCTTTTTTTTTTCTTTTTCCTTTTTTCACTCTTTTTCACTCAGTTAAATATTACGGTTTCAGGCAGAGCTGATAGCACGGGGCGATGCTGTGCTGCGTGCCGAAACCATGGAGAGGATCTTAAAAGGCCAGGGCAGAGGAGGAGCGGCTGGGCTTTCGGCTGTCCCCCCCCACTCCTAAAAGGGATAACGATATCTTAAACCAATTTTTACACTGAAAGCTCATCTTTTGTGTTCTCAACCCCTTCCAAAGCCGCAGTTTGACCTCCGCACGATGCAGCTTCTAGAATACGTGCAATCACCAACTAGCGCTCCTGCTCCTGGCTGTACCCCTCAAAAGCTGCTCTCCTGTTTTTCTTGGGACTCCCCTGACTTTTCAACACCCCGCTTGGTGAGCAGGGTTACAAAAGACCGAGCTAGACCGAGCCCTGGGCTCCGCATCCCAAGCACGGTGGCTTTATTTTTGTCATTTTGAAGCTGCACGGGGGGAGACGTGGGGAAGAAGGCTCTTTCCGGTTTCTGTTTTAGCAGCTTTTCGTATTTTACAGAGGGAAAAAAAAAAAAAGAAGCCGGATGACCTGTTGATGATGCATCTTCTGTCACTTTTATGTTGAAAGGCGCTGCTGGTTTAGTTGAGACAAAGACTTTCCCAGCGAGGCCGGCCAGATTCTCATTTGCATGTGCTGTGTGGGGCCGTACGGGCTTTGTGTGTTTTAGGCTAGCGATTTCAAAGTGAGTAATGTGGTGGCAAAGTTCAGAGGTCTGCACCAGACGCTTCCCCTTCTCCTCTGCCCTGCCTCCTCCCCCCAGGAAAAAGCCTGGCTTGTAGGAAACCTAGTGCTTGTAGCTGGAAAACGAGGCCCTTGTAGTGCCCCGTCAGAAGTGGTTTTAACCAATTTTTGAAGTTCCTACCCGTTTTGTATTAGTGGCCGGGCAGGAAGCTTTAGGAATACGTTTTAGTTGTATTTAGGCATCTGCAGCATACCTTCAGTTTAAATGCCTCCTGTTTCTAATGAACTAAACTCATAGGAGCACCAGCATTTAGCTGAGTACAGTCTTGTGAAGTGTGCCTAATGAGTGTTTCGGTTCTTGCTAAACTCTGAAATGTGTTTCTTAATGCAGGAGGTTGCTATGTTATTGTTTGTGTCTGAAATCAGAGTTTGAAGTAACTACTCGTATTTCAAGTGGAACAGAACTTGGTGTTAGCATGAAGTCTGCCTGCTACAACCATTGTGTGTTTTGCTATTGGTTTGTGTTAAGAAATGAGGCATGGAAAACAGGATTCTTTCACTTTGGGATTTATAGCTAGGGACTGTGTTTGTAGATGCAAAATAGAGCATCATCTACTTGGAGCCAGTGACGTTTAAACTCCTATTCATTTGTAAGGAACTAATTGTGAGCGTATTTTTGTATATAACATCGTCCTAGAATCTCTAGAATACAGGAGAACGTAGAACCTGGAACCGTTTGTAGATGCTACTCCATGCCACGAGCTAAAAGAGGAAGAAAGAAGGTGTTTAATGAAAAATGAACGTCACTTTTAAGCATGTGCTTGTAAGCTAAATTGCACGGTTGATCTGGAACTCTTGCAGGATGCTATTAATTGGAAGTACTTGTTGCTAGCTGGTCACTGCTCATCTTGCCGATTAGATCATAAAAGTTCTGACTGTAGGTGGCATTAAGAGGTAGAAGTTCACAGCTCTTTTGCTTCCAGACGTTCATTCCTTAATCTTCAGATTCACAAGTGTGCTGACAAACTGTCAAAGGAAGTGACAGCAAAGAGATGGTGTAGGAAGTAGGTCAAGCACTGCTAAATACTGCTGAGATACTTTTTTCCACTGAAACTAAGCTTGCTTCCATCTGATCTAGTTTCTGTTTCCTTTCAATCTTCTGGTTACAAGAAGCACCAGGAAATCTCACACTCCTGCTGTAGTCCCGTAGTCCTACTGAAATTAATATTGCATCCCTAATCAGGCACAGTTGGTCTGGCCTGGGTGGAAAGATTCATGGTGAGGAAGGTAAAAGAGCATTTTAGTTCTGGCTCTGTAAGGTGCTGAATCCCCACAGATTGCATCAGGTAGGCAAAGACAAAGTGCTCCTGTGTTTCCCCAGGGGTCTTAGACAGCTTGTGGGGTGGGTTTCCATTCCTGCTCCTTCTCCAGGTGCTGCTGAGGCAATGCCATCATGGATAATGATAATAGTCACAAGTGATTGTACATGTTTCTTGTTCAAAATGTCATTTGAATGGATCTATTCAAAAAGTTGCCTTCAAGTTTAAAACCAGTAAAATATTTGGTGTGCTAGAAACATCCTTAAACTACAAAAAAAGCAAGCCTTACCCTGTTGCTGCTCTGCTCTAAAAGCAGTAAAACCCCCTGACAATAATGTGATCTGCAGAGAAATTACAGCCTTGCACTGCGGGTATGTTCTTAGCCAAGTATCCTATGTTTATACTGATTTGAAAGCAGGTATTACTCGCGGGATGGAGGAGGTGCTTCAGCGCTTTGCCCAGGTGAGTGCTCGGCTTGTTGGCTACCTACGTGAGCGCTGTGCCGTGGACTTTTTGCGCTGACCCTTGTCATGCGCCTGGGAGCAGCAAACATGGCTAGCAGCTTGAAGTGACCTTTCTGCAATAACCTTGTAGCTGTGAACCCGTGTAAAAAGTTCAGTGGTGTCTGCTGTGACAAGCTGTTTAGGCCACCTTGAAGTGGCTTCATGGGACAATTCTGTTGAGCTGTGCAGAAGGTAGGTGGCCATCAATACCAGTCTTCTTTCGGCAACAACTCCTGCCTGGCACACGAGGCAAATCCTGTGGAATGCTTTTTAAGTATTGGGCTCAAGTGAGAGCTTGCCGTCGGTTTGGTTCAGGCTGAACATAGTGCCCGGTGGGAGCATTTGGTTAAAGATTGATGGTATCCTCAGGTCCCTGCCACGTAGGAACACGGTTTGGCTCATGAATAGGTAATAAAAGTTAATCTGCTGACCTTGTTTCTTAATCTGTGCTGCTGAATTCAATCATATTGACTTGACTGCCACCCATGGTATGTACTGATATAAAAGCTAAGTTTGAGGCTCAAATCTCATGAGGAGAATGGACTGGACCTTGTGGTGTGTTTCTGGCTGCTGTTTCGGGAGTGAAAATGTTCTCTGATCTTACTCTTCTAACTGAAGGTGTATGGCAGCTGGTAGAGTAGGAGCATTTGAAACCTCTTACTCTGGTCTTGTTATATTCCTTTTGGGAAGAGGATTTGCTCAATTCACACTCACATTGTAATACTCTGCTTGTGAAGAAGAAAAGTATGTTACAGAAGACTTTGGATCTGTGTCATGCTGGCTCTGAATGCTCTTGATCTCCCTTGATGTTGGCTATACAGCTATGTCAACCAGATGTTTTTCTATGCTGACACTGTTTGCAGCAGATTAATTGCAAAAATGTGTTTTCAGAAGGGGAAAAAGCATTTCTTTTGGGAGAAGGTTTTTAGCAGCGTGGAAATATTTAGGCCAGAGAGGTTCTGGTCTGGGTATACTAGCTAGGGTGGGCATGTATTTGTTGGTGGGGGCAATTACACCTTCTAATTGACAAAAGTTAATCAAGGACCCAGATGTAGGCAAGCTTCTACTGACAGCATTTTTGTGAGCCTGTTAGTTTACATATTCAGTATTCATGGAGATAACCATGGTGGTTTTGGCAGAAAAGCTTTTGTTGCTAAATGCTGCATTTCCATTTGCAATTCCGTAGCATTTGCTGTAGTGGCGGAGGCTCTGTGTTGTAGGCAAGTCTATGGTGTAGCACAGCAATGAACAGCAAGGAAGCCAAGAAAAAGCTGAAGTTAGATTCAAATCAGAAGGGATCTGCAGTGTTGTGTTTTTTTTTGTTGTTGTTTTGTTTTTTTTTTATTTAATAGGATAATTGGAATAGCTACTAGAGAATGTGGTGTTGTGTACTGATTGAGGTTTGGGGCAAATTGGATACATCAAAAATGCTTTGTAGTTGCTTGCAAAGGATGGGATTGGAGCAAGTTTGTTGAGTAAGATTCTTTGGGTTATAGTTCATTGGAGTTAGGACTTGAGGCAGAAAAGAAGGAAAAAAACCTGCCTAGCCAGCATTGTCTTTAAGTAGACCTCCATCAATGGATTATTGCCTCCTTTGCCAGTTGA